CCAGGCTCAGGACGAGCAGCCATCTGCTTTAACCGGCTGGTTTGAGAGGACAGGAAGGAGAAAAGGACAGAATGGCAGGTCCAGAATGGTAGGTCTTTAAAGGTACTCATGGCAAACTATGATATCAAACATAAAGAAGAGTACCACTTATATAACTTAGTATACCACCATAAGAGTACCACTCTATTACATGCTCATTGGCAAACTATTATAAGATGAGATAGAACTTTACTGATCCCGTAGGAAATTATTGTGCCAGAGTTTCAGTACAAAGGAACATACAAAGTACACAAGAACCACAAGGTATACAAATAACAGTGAATAAAAAAATGCCAACAATTGAGTTCTAAACAGATGCAGACAGAAACATTAAATAGTTTATTGTAGTACAGGATTAATTTTATTGTCCTATGTTCAGAAAGGGGGAGGAGTTGAAAAGTTTGAAGGACTTCCTGTGTTGTTCTGTGGAGCACCATTGTGGTCTCAGTCTACGACTGAAGGTGCTGCGGTAAGAGTCCAGTGTGTCATGCAGGGGGTGTGGTGCGTTGTTCAGGATCTGGAGCAGTTTCCTCAGCATCCTCTGCTCAGACACCTCTGTCAGAGACTGCAGGTCCACTCCCAGAACTGAGCCAGTTCTCTTCATGAGTTTATGGAGTCTGTTGACATCAGCTTTCTTCACCCTGCTGCCCCAGCACACCACAGCATAGAAGAAGACGCTGGAGACCAAGTGGTAAAACATCTGCAGCATGGTCCTGCAGACGTTAAAGGACCTGAGTCTCCTCAGAAGAAAAAGGCTACTCTGTCCTTTCTTGTAGAGGGTGTTGGTGTTAGCTGTCCAGTCCAATTTATTGTCTAGGTCGACCCCCAGGTACTTGTAGCAGTTCACAGTGTCCACCTGAGTACCCTTGATGTTGATAGGGTTGAGGGGGCTGGTCTTCTTCCTGTAGTCCATCTGCAGCTCTTTAGTTTTTCCAATGTTGAGTTGCGGGTGGTTCTGTCCACACCACTTCACAAAGCTGTCCACCACACCTCTGTATTCAGCTTCCTGGTCACCAGTGATGTAGCCCACAATGGAAGAGTCATCCGAGAACTTCTGCAGATGGGAGGATTGTGAGTTGTACCTGAAGTCTGATGTGTAGAGGGTGAACAGAAACGGTGAGAGGACCGTTCCTTGAGGAGCCCCTGTGCTGCTCATTATGGTGAGGTGGTGTTCTGCAGCCTCACATACAGTGGTCGACCAGTGAGGTAGTCTCTGATCCAGGTGACCAGCAAGTCGTTCACCTGCATGTCCAGGAGCTTACTGCAGAGTAGAGCAGGTCTTATGGTTTTAAAATTACTGGAAAAGTCAAAGAACATGATTCTTACAGTGCTGCCTGTCCTGTCCAGGTACGTGTAGGCTTTGTGCAGCAGGTAGATGATGGCGTCGTCATCGTCATAATATAGCGGTCTGTAGCAATGTGTTTGCGACACTCCATCAAGTGATAATGTGTATGAAGGTATGAAGTATGAACGACATGTATGAAGTTTTGTAAAATTATTTTGAGAGGTTCAGACGTTATGGTTGGTACAAGAGAACGTTTAGGGACATGCAGAGGGACAGACATTCGTATGGAGAATCTACCATAATATGCATGTATCAAGATACCATAATACACCTTCCTTTAGACGAGCGTATGATAAAAAGTTATTCTAAACAATATCAAATGGTGCCGTTTCAAAGAGTTTGCTCCAGTTTGTCCAGAAACACCGATATGGAGTTCTGAAATGCAGTTACACACTCGGTGCATCACAATGGAACAGTTGGTAGCGCAAGAAGGTTGCCGGATCGAATTTCAGTCAGAGTTTGCACATTCTCTCTGT